CAGTCGGAACATTGTCACGTATTGGACGTTTATATGCTTTTTTCTTTCTTCTTTGATATTAATCCAATCTTTTACTTTCGATATGCCGATACCGTAGCATCCTAACTAAGATGCAAATTCATCTTAATTGGCTTTGTTATTTGACATTTCCAAATTTCTGTAGGTATTCAGAACAAAATTTTGTCCGTAATATCAATTTCATTACCTGAAAAATAACTTTCAAGAACTGCTGAGATTTGAGCGCTTCGAAAATGCACACCTAGGTAACTGACAGTGGCACATCCGAGGGACGTATACACGACGTCTCTAAAGGATCCTCAGAAGATCTTCAGGGAAACTTCAGAAAATCTTTTTATAAATATTGAGATTTGAAGCCGAAACCACAGACTGTAATAAGAAATTGACTATGCACATTTTATAGATATACGTTCACACTTGTGCGAGAGCCAACAGAAGCTTTTCTGGAGATCTTCAGAATGCGCCACTGTCAGTTACCTAGGTGTGCATTTTCGTTGCGCTCAAATCTCAATAGTTCTTGAAAGTTATTTAAGTAAAAAGTTTAAAAGTTTTCTCTTAGTTGAATACAGTCAAATTTTGCATTAGTCCAACTCACTCGTTAAAAATAGTCATGCCATTAACTGTAAAAATTATACTGTCCTGAAATTTAACATTTTGGGTGAAGATCGATGACACTTACCTTCGACTCTGTTTCGTGTACTTGATAGCATTTCTTTTTTTTGTTCCATTTAGATTGAACAAATTAAAAGTAACATTAAAATGAATTAGGTTTGTGAAGAAAATACAGTATTTTTAACCGAAGCCAGAAAGTACGACCTTTGAGCTCAAATTTTAATTTTGCCATGGAGAAGAAAAGTCGGTAGAAGAACGATAGTTCATTAAAATATTCTTTGAAAGAATAAACTTGACAGTTGTGACGTTTTGGAAAGCTGAAACACTCATTTACTAGAATAAGAGCTGATGCCAGGAAAAGCCGCTTTTCCTGGCATCACCTCTAAATGGATAATTAAGTTGTGGATCGTTATTAATTACATCTGCCAGTTCTATGGTGAGTTGTAGTGGAATATGAATCTAAATATTAGAAGTTCGGTGAACGTGTCATACAACAGCTAAATTTAATATCTCATATACGAAACGATCCTTCTTCTTTTTTTCCCAAAGACGCCAGTACCGAGGGGCTTAGATTCTCGAAATAAGCGTAATCCAGACGGGTCTTTATAGTGCGGGTCATACCACTATCAGATGGTTAATCCTTTGCATTTTGAAATCTACAACTATGACCGGTACAATAATAAGGTTAGATTTCCAATCTTGTAATATCGTTTTCAATGGGTCAACAAAAACAATGAGTCACCAGGTCAAACTGTCACAATAGTAAAGACCGTGATTGGTTATTTTATCATTTTTCTGTAGATTCTTATGATTACAATAAACAAATGATGAATATCTACGAGCGACCATCGAACCTTTTCATAGAATCGTTTTCAACCAATAGGATAATATAGACTGTAACATAGAAAAGGAAGAGAGCATAAAAGGTCAACATTAGTGACTATTATTTTATTTTATTCAATTAATGAATTTTTATTTTGAGCTTTCGAATCACCAATTCGTCATCAAACTTACAATATTAAAAATTAACACAGTTAAAACTACACAGAACTTTTTATTGTCAAAGTGCTGCCATTAACAAAATTCAATCGGGATTTTTCACTTTAGTTCACATTTTTTACTAAAAGATAAATATTTTTTCGTGATATTTTTTAAGCACAAAGTGTGATAATAATTTAGTTTTAGTATCAATGAATACCTTTATGATGAATACACCTGAGGGAAGGGGGTAGGAGGTAAAAAAATAGGTGAAAATCAAGGCTTTTTGAGTATAAAACTTCAACTCCTTCTCCTTTGGAAATACTGCACGAGTTTCACAAAAGATATTCTCTAGGTTAAAATTGTCATGAATGTAATACAGTCAACAGCTTTTGAAAACGTTTAATATAGATTCGGATAGTTGGGTCTTTTCGCAGTTGACTCTGATCTTTTCGATGTTGATGATTTGAGTGCTTGGCCGTTTGAATTTCTTTCAATAATTCAGTTTTCTTCTTGGTCACAATATCTAATTGTAATTTCAAGTGCTTCGTTGTAATACCATTCATATTCCTTCATTTTGAATGACGAAAAGAGATCCTGGCATTGTTTTTCCAACATTTCATCTGTTGCTGTGTTCTGTCTTTGTTTCTGAAATATGCCGAGCTGCTTGGCATCATCTCCAAGCGATTCAGTCAGACAATTTATTCCATGGGTCCTTGAACCTATCAGATATTGCGTGAAGTTTGTACCCTTTGTAAAGGCAGACCATAACACCTATAACCCCAGCGATTGAAAAATCCATCAGAATCCATGATGCTACTGCAGCGAAACCGGTCGATCCTGCCGTAATACCAGCAATAGCAAACGCACACTTTGCCAGGGGAACAGCATGAGCTATTAGACAACCGGCTAGTGCTGCATTCGCCGAACACAGAACAACGCCATCGCCAAGAGCAAATTTCCATTTTTTTTCGAAACTTTACTCTTGTTGCAAAGAACTGCGAACACTGCTTGTAGAGGTCAAAGTATTGTCTTAGATTCAATCACCAGATTATCATACTTTGACTCCCACAAAGAGTAGAGAGCTTTTCGTCTGCTTCAACCATAAAAACCATTTATTTTAACCTAGAGAATATCTTTTGTGAAACCATAAAAACCATTTTATGAGATCGAATGAAATAACTTACTTGCCATGCGAGGGAAATCGATGAAATTTCAATCGATACCATCATAGTGCTTTGGCAGTGTTGGATGTTATTGAAAATGTTATCGAAATTGAACCAAAACGTTCGACTGTCACTCGAGGACGAAACATCGGTAAGAGATAGTTGATTTGCATCGATCGAAAACGGTTTGTTAATACCTAAGACATACAAACTGACCAGTTCTTCTCTCTGCGCGACTGACTTAGTCGAATCGTCTGCATCAAACATCATCACTTCTTGACGTGCAAATTGAAACTTGTTAGCAACACTAACAGATCGTGCTCTTTCGAAATGTGGATTTTGTTGCATGCGTAGATTGATATCACCACTGATCAATTCCACTTGATCGGTTGATATCGGCGATTACCATCGTTACGGATGTCGGCCATGGTAATGAGTCGTCATTGTACAAATTGAGTTGATAACGCGTTTGTCAATTGAGATTCGATTGAAACTGACTTGTACGGTGGATTCTAGAGATGTGCAACCCGAACCGTACGGGTAGAGCAGTTACGGGTACGGATTCTATTATTTTTAATTTACCCGAAAACCGGAAGGTTCTAGTGGAAAACCCAAAAATTTAAGTAAAAAATACCGGAGTTTTGCTAAAGTACCTGAAGATTTAAAAAAGAATTACTTGAAAACGTAATGATAATTTGACATCATAAAAACAAAAGTTTTTAGCTGGAAAACAAAAAGGGGAAAATCTTTAAGCATAGGTCGGGTGTAGGTGGAAAAAAATTTTCGGATCGGGTACAGGTACGATTTCTGCACCCGCGCACATCTCTAGTCGATTGTGAAGTATCAAAAGTGAAATTAATGTAGAATGATCAATGAATGTAATGGAGCAGATCGAATATTCTGTCAATCCTCATCAGTCAGTAAATTATAATGGAAATTTGCCCATAGTCAAATGATCTCAGTCAAATTCGAATAGATTCGTACGGTAGAAGGTTCTTTGTCACTGTTCGTACCAGCGACAAGAAGAACGAGAAGACAACATTGCGGATATATGATGTAAGATAAATATGACATCTGCTCGCTCTATCTTTCCTATATAGTATGTTTACATGTACCACGTCCGATAATAAATTAAGAACGATTACTTGTGTTTCTTGAAAAAATCCTGATATATTTATTCAGAGAAAACCATACAGTGCCTGACAAAACAGCTTTGCACTTGATGTCATTATCAAGATAAACGAAATCTGATTCTAGTTAAGATGCCACTTGCAGCGAAGGTAAGATAACTTCCTCCGGTTTATTAGTGGAAAAGAAATCAAATCATATTGAAAACACAAATGGTTAAAATCGAATCAGCTTTATCATCCCATCGGCCGCACACTTGAATATCTCCTTGCACTTGTATCTCTTTCTTGAGTAGTCCATTCTTGTATTCGTCCTTAGTAGGTACAATATAATCATCCCCATTATGAATTTTGATTACATTTGTATTAGGAATTTTCATATGGATTAAGACACGTTCATTCTGCTGCACGAGACGACGAAGAGGTTCGATCAAAATACATTTATGTTCGTTGAATGGTTGATAAGTGAGAGGAAAAGTGATGGCTTGAACAATATTTGAAACGTGCAGTCTCATATAAATAGAATCTCGATAGGTTTTTTCGTTGTTTGTTTTCGCAAAAATGGCTATTTCATAGAGTCCATCAGCGGGGGGAGCTATATAACAATTGTAGACACCGGCTTGCATCGCATCGCGTTGACATAATGTATGCAGGTTACGCGGATATTCAGTATCGCCAACTTTGAGAGCAGCAAACAAATTAATCTGTTCTGGTGTTTTAATGGCAATTTTGAATAAATTCTGACTGGTGTCATTGAAGCCTTGCTTGGGCGAGAGCAAATTTAAATTTAATCGATAATAGGTAGATTTCATAACCGGTAAACTAAGAAAGTCTGGTTTAGTTATTTCTGGATCGAGTAACTGATGTCCATTACAATAGTGTGTATAGATTAGTTCTTCGGGTGATGTAAGAAAATAGAAATCTTCTAGTTCGTTCGTACCGTCACCGCCGCCAGCACCCCATGTCGGATAGAGTAGATGGGTGTACTGATCGAGCACAATAGCATTCCAAGCATGCGGTGACTTTTTAAGATCTTCACCCGGCTTGAGAAAAGCCTGTTTAGCATAGCCTGAGATTTCCAAGCATTCGATTTCCAGTAGTGAACAACATTCATGATAGAGACTCACAAAACCTCGACATACGCCTGTTCGTTGTCGAAAGACGCTCTCGGCCGCGTTATTTTGACAATACAAATTGTATCGAATATTTTGACCTATCCAATAGAAGAGTAACCAGGCATTTTCTAAATTATTTTTACCATACGCTTTAATCTTATCTACTAGATCAGCCATAGAACTAGCATTCGACCATCGTTGTACGGCATCACGTAGCTGTTTATTAGCGATGACAGCATCGCGTTGTTCTCGAAAAGCAGGATCGATGCAGGTTTGCTTGAGATCGGCACGAATTTTTACTTCAGGCTTTATAACAATGGTCGTCGGGTTTCGATGACCTGACACGCTTGCGGTGGTGCTGGTTGTAGTTGCTGCTGCATTTTGCTCGCTGAGTGCTTCCATTACTGTCTGTTTGATGTGATCGAGTGACAGTGTCGACGGCTGCTGTGCAAGCGTGGCCATCAGGGCTTGTCTCTGTTCGGCAAACAAACGATTAAGAGTATCACCGTTGTCTTTTTTCATCTCCTCTTGTTTCTTGATCGTTCGCTCTAGAGTATCTTGCAATCGGGTAACTGCATCAGTGTCGTCAGTTTTCTGAGTAGTTCTCTGTACTCCTTGCTGGATAGTTTGAATAAGACTGCGTTCAAGCCGCTCAATGGCCTGAGGTGATAACTCCTGTTGCTGTTGTGAATCGAGTGTTTCGGTGACTGTTTGTTTGATGAGATCAAGTGATGAGGTTGCCGACTGTTGTTGCTGTCGGTTAAGTGCATCAGTCAACACTTGTCTTTGCTCGGCGAGGAGACGATTGAGTTTTTCGTCGTTTTCTTTCTTCGCATTCGTCTCGTCAGTTTGAGTTGTCTCAATTTTTGAAATCACACTCATCTCACTGAGGGCACTTTTTACATGCCGAACTCGTTAAAAGCTTAAATAAAAACACTTTACTACTCATTCCGAATGACTTTATTTTTTTCTTAGGCAAATTTGTCGGAGTGATTGATCTTTAAAGGATCAGTCACTGTTGGCTTCTTCCAACAAACAAACAGAATTCACTTTAAAATCAATGCAAAATTTCTTTTTCCTTTCTACTTCAACTTTGGTTTTATTTTCACGCTTTGTCACTCTCATGCTTCTCGACATCATATAGAACTCAGATACACAATAAAAATAATAAAATTGTAGACAGTAATCGGTGATTTCAAGATGGCAAGCGGTCAAAATGCTTTTGATATATCCTATTCGTTGAGGATAGGCCCGTCCGTGTATCATGTAATGGGTAACCGGAGGAGGGGTCGACCAAACGGAT